TCCAAGGAGCAGCCCGGTTTCACCCTCTACAGGATGAACCTGTTTGTTCTTTTAACAGTGTACTATTATAGTTTACAAAAAAAACAAAAGAAAAATAATCTGTGACATGATGACAAATATTTCAGTATTTTTGCTTTTCAGTTTTCATATTTTTTTTAAAAAAGTTTCTTTCTAGGACATTATGTAATATAAACAATTGCAATTACAGTGGTCAATGTTTGGGCTGTGGAAGAACCATGGAGTCTATATACCTGAGTGCAGAAGAGTATGGATTTCTCAAGGAAAATATAATGAGAAATGTAATAGATGGTGGTGACCAATACAGAAAGACAACACCTGAGGTGAGTCTAAAAATGTTTTACTTCATTTTCAAATTACTTGGCTAGAGCAGGTTTCAGTATATATTTAATTTTTTTCCGGTAAAAAGCCAAATAGTAAATATTTTAAGCTTTGAAAACTGTAAAGGCTTTACTGAAACTGCTGTTATAGCAAAAACAACCTGACCAATATGTACATATGAGTGAGAATGACTCAATTCTAAACTTTATAAAAACAAGCAGCAAAGCCTCTCTTTCATAGTTCTTTTCAAGGAGGAACATCAATCCTTTTGAAGATGTAACTTTCTAATACATTTATCTTACTTTGTACCTTAGAAAACAATCAAGCAGCCTGGTCATTTTTTAAATCAACCTTTAGAAGAGTGCTGTGCTTTAGAAATTCTTAGAATGATTGGCTTACACTCTCATTTTATCTATTGATCATGTGCCTCACATGTCTTGGCAAAACTGCACTTAAACTGAAAAGAAAAAGATGCTATTCTTTCTTTACTTCCTTCTGGACAACTGTCCAGTAAGCCCCATGAAGACATTCTAGGTTCTCCCAACTTTTCTAGTCAAGGAAGCTTAGGATAACTTTACAAAATTTTGTTTTCTTGGTATCGAAGGTGAATGTCTTAGGTCATTTATGTTGTTAATCTTGAATACTTTATGCCACTTGCTAAGATTTAATTGAAGGGATAAAATACTGTTGGTCATCTTTCAGGAAAAGTTGTGCATCATCTTTCTAATCACTTTTAAAAAAATAAAGAAGGAAAGGGGGAGAGGAATCAATGGGCCTCTATTTTATTTGGTGACAAGCAAGTGCAAAAAAGTTCATTTTTAATATGTTCCGTTCTTTTGCACATCTACATTCTGGCCAGAAGGGATTTAGAGATTTTCTGCAGTACATGAGCATCTGCAGGCTCTATCCTCTTAATAATAATTCTTTTTTGTTTCAGTGATCTCAAAGTCAGTCCTGTAGAAGTCAATTGCTGACTCATTGCTGATCTGCACATGTAGATAAATGTCAAAAATGTCATTCTTTTCACAAATGCTTAAGACGTGATTGAACATTTACTTTCCATTCCTACCATTTGTTAAGGTGCCAGATATCCTAGCATCATGATGTAAAGTCTCTTTTGATTCTGTGAATGATCTGCCTACTGCAACATTATTGAAATAGGCAAATTTTACTAGCTCGCCAACCTCCAGCACATTCTTGTAGAACTTGTCATTGTAACTGATTGGAAAGATGACCTGGTTTAATCCTTTCAACTGTTTAATGTTGTGTGGTGTGACATCTCCCACCTTTATCCCACTGCTAATTTAAAAAAAAAAACATTAGATAATGTGACATCCATCCAGCACCAATTTTTGCGATCACATGATTGGCCCAAACCTTTTGTCTGGAGATTTTACCAGTATTCCCACAAAAGGTAGAACTTTGCACACCCATGTTTATCGCAGCTCTGTTCACAATAGTAAGGAGTTGGAAACAACCCAGGTGCCCATCAACAAACCA